CCAAACCAATTAAATGAACCGATTTAATTTGGGTTTTGGTTTAGTTTGGTTTTAGATTGTTAAGAACCGATAGTATTTGGTTGGTTATGGTTTTGTTCGAAAAAAATCGAAGAAATAACCGAACCGAACCAACAAGTTATATACATAAATTTTTTTTTTTTTTGGAACCCCAGGATAACCCGCAACCGCTTCAACCTCTGTCACTGCCTCTGCCTTCCGGGTGAGCACTACATAAATTTTATTAATATACATACATAATATATTAATATTCATAAACAATTTTAAAGATTTTATATATGTTTCATCAAAATTTATTTATAATTTACTTATGAAAGAAAAAATGTCCAAGGTGAGAACATTTTTCTTATTGGTTTCATGTATATGAGTGTCTATGGAAATTCTTTGTGGGACTGGAAATGTCATTGTCTCTTCCTTCTATGCCAAAATAGTGAATTTTGAAGTTTTATTCAGTAAATTCAATGATCGAAAATTCTATAATGCCAGTCATTCTAACTATTTTTTTGTTTGAATGGATTGTTGTCACTTTTTTCATGTTTTGAATGAATTGTTTCTTTTATTGTTATGTATGGTTAATAACCGAATAACCAAACCAAACTAAACCAAAATCGAAAACAACCAAACCGATAAATGTATATTATATTTGGTTTGATTTGATTTTGATAATTTTGAAACCGATTAAGTTGGTTTAGTTTTGGTTTTGATCAATAACCGACCCAAACCAAACCGTGAACACCCCTACCTCTGAAATAGGGATAAGGTCTGCGTACACCTATTATTTTCAGACTTTATTATATGGGACTATATTGAATATATATATTAATATTGTTGTTGTTGCTGCCCTTTGGAAATTAACTTTTTTATTTTTTTTTATTTATATATATATATATACACACATATAGATTCTCCAAGTCCAACAGTAACTAAGTACTTAGGTGATAGTCTTCACACACCTAAAAGGAATAATTCCCCAAAACAAAAAAATGAGGTCGAAAGAAGAGAGGCACTTTTGACGTTTTGGTCACATGGCTATATGCCTATATCCTTATCTTAAATTTAAAAAAAAATTATTCTATGCTTAGCAAGATTGTGCCCACGTAATATAATATCTAATTAATTTTTGCCATTGATAATATATATATCTATCTTTTGGAGGCCAAAGAGAAGAATGGAATCAAAAGGCAAAGGTAATGGAGAAACAGGAGTCAACTGTTGTTTTCATGAATGGTGAGGGACACTCCAACATATTCGAATAGAATTTAAGGTATATATTTATATATACGCTGATGGTATCAAGATATTTTTGGGTTATTGGAATGCCACCGAAATGATAGTTGTCATAGTTATTGAGTTAGTAGTTATATATTTATACATTTCTTAATATATTGGGTTCATCTAAATTAAATTACATGTATAACTGATACTCTTTCTCAGATCCTGTAAGAATTAATAATGTTATTATAACTATCTCCATCATTGTCAACCATTAGAATCGTCGCTTATTACAAGCCGTCATTATCAATCACATCTGTCATCACAATCACCACTGACAACCATCATCATTCGTTGTCAACCACTATTGTCAGTGGCTACCCTATCTATAACTTTCATCATTATAATAATTATATTCACTACCACCATCACCGCCGTCACATCCACCAACAATATTAGTCACTAGCTATAACCACACGATCAATCTCTACTACTAACACCTCCACCATCACAATTAGTATTGTTGTTAACTACGACCAACGCATCGCCATTCGTCAACTACCACACATTATTCAGCCATTACTATAAACATTATCAACTACACGCTAAATAGAAAATCAAAAAATGTCAAGCTACAGATAAAAATGGTTGTTCCCATAGCGTTATGCAGGCTTAGCTTAGTCCCTCTCCGAAAAAACAGCAGGCACGCATTCCAAAAAAGGCATGCAGAGTTTGCTGCCATTCGCGCTTTGCATTTTCAACATTTAGAATTACTTGATTAATTTGAGAAAGTCTTTTAATATTGATTGAAATTTCCCTCTTCAGTTGGAGGCAGAATCGGCTCCCCTTGAACCATCCTCGGAAGAGTAATTAAGAAAGAAGAAGGGAACATGAGTTTCTATGCTACGCTCCGTAGATGTTTTTACGATTCGAAAAGAAGAAACAAAGGTGAAAAAACTCAAGTGATTTTTCCTTTGACTAAGGAAGCGCTCTTCGGGCTGAGGTCCAATTGAAAATCTGGCTCCCTTGTTTTCCCAATTTCCTAGCTATTGTGTTGATAATCCTTGGTTTGACCTTCTGTAGTGGTCCTGCTTTTAAGAAAGCGGAGTGGGGCAATATCAACCAATTAACTTCCCCATAAACCAAAATAACTATCAAATTTGACGCCATCACGTCAGTAACTACAATACCAATCACAAATCACCACAATAACTAGTCAAGAATATTAATTATATAAATATTTTTTTATGCAATTAATTAACCCAACATGGAAGACAGATATAAACGACCTTATCCTTCTATCTAATTAGTATCTCTTTTGGGCGGCTCACGTGGTCTTACTTCCCAAATACCCCTTCTTCTCATTTGACTTTGTAAATTATTTCCACAAGTGCTAAGAATATTTCTAGTATTTTTGAATCTTTACATTTTTTTAATTTCAAAACATAACTTTATATACATCCAATTTATACATTCCCCCAATTATGGCCTAAAAGATACTTTTTGTAATGTTATTTTAAATATCCCACAACATATATATGACAACAAAAACTCTATTAAGAATAAAATAAGTAATGTATAGTGATATTCTATCGACGTATATAGTGTATTGGATGAGGCTATTTTTTCTTTAATCAGAGGTTTCGAGATTTCAACTCTAGATATGGAAAAATCCTTAATAGAATGGGATGGTTAAATTTCAATGCGGATATCGAATATTGAGTGAAAAAAAAATAATGTAAAGTGATACTTGTATACACAAATGTGACCTTGTTAGAAGTGTTGGGGACAAGCAACATGCCCACTTGCAGCATTTGTTCTCTATGTGTGAGCATTATTGAAGTGATAAAATGGGTCCCTAATTCGCATAAACCATCTTGTATCGTTGACCCTTCCCCTTGCTAGTAACTTAGATTGTGAATTATGACATTCGGGCATCGTTGAAGAGTTTCACATCGGATTAGATGAAAAAAGGTATATGTGATTTTAATTTCTATATGATCTTAAATAATTTTTATTTCTTAAGTTTGAAATTGAATTAGTCTCAATGTTTATTTAACATGATATCAGAATCAAACTTTTGACTGTCCACGCCCTGAGACATGACAGTGTCAGGTATGTGGGGTGATGACATAAGCCTCATTTGTTTTCATTAAGATTAAGACCTCTGAATCTGAATACACGTATATTAAGATTTGCATTAAGAGCTAGGTGTCTACATCTGAATACACATCTGAATATTAAGATGTGGTCTCCAAATCTGAACACTGAATGATTATTATTTGTTTCAATAGCTGAATGTGCATATGAAATCAAACATTATATTAATAAAATGTTATAAAAAATTCATTTCAGCAAAAAAATATTACTTTTTGATTTTAAAAAATCATAATCATCAAGCAGAACATAAAAAAAAAAAAAATCACGAATAAAAAATATTTTATAGGCACAATATAATATCAAAAAATTCAATAAGTATGATAGATACTAGTCGAAAAATAATAAATAAGGTATCACATTATAAGCACCTAACATATATTTTGGCTAATTAGAAAAACTAAATAATTCTTATCTTTTTTCCAATAACCTTAATCCAATTCTATTAACTTGTGAACCTCTAACGTTATTCATGTTTTTTTTGTAGCGGACACTTTCACAAAATATACTAACACATGTACTGTATAATGACTCTTCTCATCCAAGTGCATCTAATTTTTTCATATATTCTTCAAATGTAGATGCACTATTTTTTTAATTAATAACTCCATTGCAGTAATCATCTTCTAATCAATTTCCAATTCAGACGAATAAGTCTTTATTCTTCCCCAAAACTTTTTTTTCCCAGCAGAAACTAAGATTGAGATGGAGAATTATTAGGAGCTCCATTATTCTTGTCATCAACTAGTTCAACAACAATAATATATCAAAGAGTCTCAATAAAATTATTGGCCTAAGACAAAATTCTAATAAGAGACCTCAAATATGTATACATAGTTATTATTTTTAATTATAACTTATTAAATAAGTCTAAATGGTGTTAAGACTCTCTTGCAGATTTGATTCGTTCAGACCTTTTCAGGTCCATTAAGAGGTTTTTGGAATAAGAAACAAATAGACTTAATGGGTTGAATCTGAATCATTCAAATTCAGACCTAAAAAACAAACACACTTAATGGACTGAATCTGAATGATTAAGATTTAGACCTCCAATAAGTGCAAACAAATGAGGCCTTAGGTTTCCTTAATATGACTTGGACAATATCTAATTTTTGTGATTGAGTTCAGCTCAAAGTTAACTTATTTATGATGGTATCAAAGCACGACTCTTCTAAATTCTTGTTCTTGATATTGGCTCCATACTAAATAGTACACACTCCAGATATACAGGTCTAGGTGTGACGCGGGTATTGAAGAGTCTCACATCAAATAAAAAAAAAAGAAATATGTGGTCTGCTTATATGATTTTGAGCAATTCTCAACTCTTGAGTTGATATTTAAGTTTTTTTTTTTTTTTGCGTTTGAGATTAAGTTAGACTCAAAATCGATTTAACCGGAGCAGACGTGGTATCTGTCCATGTGCATGGGGTAAACGTATCTTATGTTTTTCTTTGGCACTATAAATAAGAGTGACAAATCTTTATTTCTTATCACAAAACACACAAGAAAATCAACTTCACGTGCAATACTCCTCTCTCATTTCTATAACACCAGAATTTGTGTTTTAAAAAAAAAATTGAGTGTCAATTAAGACAAAAAAAGAAGAAGAAGAGTTTTTCTCTATTTTAAAAGAACCTTAATATATCCATTTCTTGTTTAAATTTGTATTAATACTATATGGAAAAGGCAAAGCAAGTGATTGGTTCCTCCTCCTCTTCTTCATCCTTCACCAATGAGCTATTTGGTCCCAAAGAGCCTTCAAACTCCACTCTCTTTGCTTCTGTTTTTGGTCCACCTTCCACGGTATTGTCTCGTATTTGTCCTTATTTTACATGAAATAAGTGGATTTTACGTATTTTTTTTAATTATAAGGAGGAATACAACACTATAGATAATTCGTCAACTGAGCTACACTCATTATTTTTATGTTCATATACATTTTGGCATGTATATATATATATAATTCATTAGTGATCAATTCAAGGGCAAAAGTGAAACTTTTTTTTTTTCTAACATTTGATACTAAATTTAAGTTACTCAATTTCATAGTACAAGAGCAAATTTGACTATTTTTGCCTCCTTTTGGTTCTTTTCTTTCTTTTCATAGTTTCATTGGTTATTTTTAAAAAAAGTTTTCTCCTCGTTTTAGATAAAGAAAATTAATCATCTTTTTTTTTTGGCATGTTTGTATCAATTGTTCTTTTGTTTACTCAACTAATAGTTAGTATTATCTTAAAAAGTCATTTTCTTAGTTAAATTTACTCAACTAATAGTTAGTATTATCTTGAAAAGTTATTTTCTTAGCTAAAGAAAATTGAAAGAAAAAATGACTTTCTTAAACTCAGATAATAACTATTAGTTGAATTCGGAGAACCCTCTTAGACCTTAGCTTATTAATTAAGCACATAATTAAAGAAAGTAGTTAGCAAAAGCTCAAGTTTATCCACTGGAATAACTAAAAATCCAGGAAAAAAAATGAAGGACTTGCTTTAGATTCTTTTTTCATTTTATTTTTTTGTGTTTGATATTCTTTAGCATCTAACAATGTGATTAACATGTTATTTATTATTTTTATCAGATTATTCATTAATAATAATTAAGAAATTTAAATATTTTTATTTGTGACTTTTAGGGACTTAGAAGGGATCCCATTCACTCAGGGGATAATAGAGGTTCATCAACAATCCAAGATCCAGGGAACCAGTATGGCAATAATACAAAATATGGGACTTCAGGTTAATTTCTGAAAATATATTTATATTATATAATGTCAAACATCCTACTCTATGACAAGACTCGATCTGCTACGAGTCGGGGTCATGATTGAACATGACATATGGTTATTTGACGATTTTAATTAAGAAATAAGAAATGAAGTTACGTCTTTGTTATCACTTATCAACTATAGTTTCTGACATGATTTGATTCAAATGTTATTTATATTTTACAGATAATGGATCTAAAAGAAATCAGAATGAAAAAGTAGAAGCTCCATGTAATTTAAGTTCATCTATTTACTATGGTGGCCAAGATGTTTATCCTCCAACTAATCAGAACACTGGCTCTCAGAATAATATTGTAAGTATATATATATATATATATATATATATATATATATATATATATACACACTTATTTCTTTTTATATTATTATTTTAATATAATTAAATAATTAAAAGTGTTCTCATTTTATATTAAATAGATTTTTTAAAAAATATTTTGTAAATTTAATTTGCAATTTTGTGGTTATTTGATCAGGTAAAGAAAGATGGTGATGGTTCAAACTCTGCTTCAAGAGGAAATTGGTGGCAGGGTACGTAATATATAACGATAAATATATTATTGAATATTGTCACGTTTTTTTTTTTCTTTTTTCGATTAAACTTTTTATTATTAAAAAGATTTTTTCAATTGATGTGACGATTGTAAAAAGGAATTATTCAACTCTTTTTTTTTTTCGTACATGAAGACAAAAATTCGATAGAAAGAATTTTATTAATGGGAGAAGGTGTTAGGCATCTCCAAATCACGTGATTGTAGCATATGATATCACTACAATGATAATATATTATTATTTCTTTAATTTGAACATGATATCTTTTCTTTCCAATATCATAAATACCAATTTTTATTTTTTATTTTTTGCAGGATCACTGTACTACTAAAAAGAAAGTGGAGAGTAGTTGATGAATATTACAAAATATCACTCTTTTTTGTGTTTTTTTTTTTTAGTTTGTAAATCGGTATAATATTAAATATTAGTTACTATTTACAGTTATTGAACTAATTTTCTTGTTTTCATATCTAATAGTTTTTTTAGTTTACTAAATATTTTAATTTATATTTTTGGATAAGATGAGTAAAGGAATACATAATTACATATGAACGTGACACACACAAAAATAAAATAAAATTGGAATGGTCAATACTCAATACATGCAATTCATTCTTAGAGTTTAAAGTAGGTACATCGACAATTTAAAGAAATTTTTATACTATCAGATAAATTATTATCGGTAGAAAATGTCTTTTCGAAGAGTTATATATGTTCAATAAACCATCAAAGGGTATTGCATCATGCACGAATCCATCGACACTTATTTAAGTATCTCAGCTTCGTTGTGCAAGATCAAATTTACACGTTTTATTTTTTAAATGAGCTGGTCTTTAATTTTTGTCCTTCAAATGGATTGATCTTTAACTTTTGTCTTTTAGCAATCGAACTAATGTTTAGTGGGACATAAATTCTTTAGAAATTGATTCCATTTTGACTATGACTTATGAAATATTCTGATATAAGAATATAAACTTACGTTCCACGAAAAAATATTTATTACGAAGAATATAAATTATTAAAGGCTAGCACAAACTATAGTTTGCTATAATTACCACTCGCGACTAACATTATACATTAATTACGTGGGCTGACTTCGAGTTTGTATAATTAGCCACGTTCGTATATGTATAATTCGCTAGAATATACAAATACATATGTATAATATACAATTATCTAACTGATATACATATACAATTCACCTCTCTCCTCCCTCTCCCAATCTCGCTTGCCATATATACAAATGCATATGTATAATATACAATTATCTAACCGATATACATATACAATTCACCTCTCTCGCTCGCCTCTCTCCTTCCTCTCCCAATCTCGCTCGCCTCTCTCCTCCTTCTCCCAATCTCGCTTGCCATATATACAAATACATATGTATAATATACAATTATCTAACCAATATACATATACAATTCACCTCCCTCCCACTATTTGCCCTCTCTCGCTCGCCTCTCTCCTCTCTCTCCCAGTCTCACTCGCCTCTCTCCTCCCTATGACATGTAGCTATGAATTGTAATTATCAAACTATAGTATGAGAGTAATTAGGCTATTTTTGAGTGACTGTTTGTCACGACCCAAAATGAGTCGTGACTGGCACCCACACTTAACCTCTTAAATAGGCGAACCAAGGAATCCAAACCCCAACATAAACCAATAATTCAACTACGAATAACAACAATAATGCGGAAGCTCAAAACTTATTAAAGTAACCAATCAAATAAACCTCTAAAGTCTAACACTTATTATCCCCAAAATCTGAAAGTTATCACATCAAGGACATCTAATCTTCAACTACTAAGTCTAAGAGTATTAAAGACACCAAAATAAATGAATAAAATAGTTTATGTCCGAAAACTAAGGACATCATGCCATGACCAAGAGAATCCAACACGAGCTGGAATGAATAGCTCACCCTGGAGCCTGATGTGTTGGAGACTAGCTAGAGCTGAGGGCGAGTCGAAGTCACTGATACACTCGCTTAGGGGTGGGCGTTCGGTTCTTCGGTTTTCGATTTTTGAAAGTGTGCACTGTATAAATAATAGTATAAAATCAACTATGACACTTAGTAGGTGGCAAGCAACAAACACATGAATCAGTGTCAACCACACTAAAGTAAGTACGTAATCAGCCAACAATATCGAGATCACACATGAGGACTCGTGTCTCCAAAACAAACTAATTTGGGAATTGAGCTCTTTGAGATTGAGTACATTAAGTTAATTCAATATCTTTTTCCTTTAATGTTATCGTGTCGGAACGTGACACTCCGATCCAATTATACCGTGTCGGAACATGACACTCCGATCCAATAATACCGTGTCGGAATGTGACACTCCGATCCAATTATACTGTGTCGGAATGTGACACTCCGATCCAATAATATCATTAATTTATCATTTATTATCACCACTTTTCAATTTATTAACAATATTTCATCAAGCCTTCTTTATTCAAGGCATCACTTCGATAGAGAGAGTTCAAGATTATAAATTTCACGGTCTCAAGATTTCACACCAATCACAAACCACACAGCCAAGCTACACAATCACACAATCAAGTACATAAAGAATTTCACAATATCATTCAATGCATATCAATCACTATTAAGAGTTTATCTATCAAATAGAATAAACCATAACCTACCTCCACCGAAGAACCTAAGTCAAGCAAGCTACTTCTCCAATGCCTTCCATTTCCTTAACGTCTCAGAACCTTTCCAATCTATCAAGTATATATATAACTTGTAAATTAACGAGTATATTAACACTCATGCTACTATATGTCTAGCCTAGACCCAAAACTCACCCAATTCTATAATCAATTTCCTCAAATTCAAGCCCTAGGGTAAATCTTATGCTTCCATTTAGCATAACTTTAATGTAATTCATATAATATATTATACCTTATATTTAATTACCTATATAACATAGTAAATAATTAATGTTAAACCTAGTTGATTAGCAAACCATGGCGTACTGCAAAATGAATGGCAAAACTAACATCTTTCTAATGGTTTAAAACTATAAGCATTGCTCAACCTAATAATTAGCCATAATTAGGCATAAGGACCAATAAGAGTCGTTACTCTTAAGTTTAAGAACACCACCGCAGTAAGACAAATTGGAACACCTTAGCATTGCAATTATTCTAATTCCAACTTTCTTTCTCAATTCCAATTTTTTACAATATGAATGGTTGGCCTAACTTTTCTCTCATCATTCATCTAACAACAATACTATACATATGCACACTTCACTTTATAATATAATAATCATAATAAATAAATAACAATCAGCACTTTAATTCATGAATGCAGTGAATCCAATTAAGTATTTTGCACCCCACCAACAAAATCAATCAACTTTATGCTTAAACCATGGACTTCACTTACTGCTATTCAACCAATTATTAAATTAATTACACCGCCACAATAGTCAAACTCAATTCATTAGCCTTTACTCAATATACTATATATGTAATTTGCCAATAATATTTTCTATGAAAACCCAATTGAATTGCAATACGGGAGAAATCACATACACGATAAGTTTCAATAGCATCTACCATTCCCTAATCAATAAAGCATATGCATCCCATTAATATAACTACGAAAACGCTTCTTGAATTTGCTTTGACAATCGTGCGGCTCCTTTCTATTTTTCCTCCTTTCTACAGATCAGTTATCACCCTAATTGTATATCTTAAAATTATAAAAATGGTAAAAGTGACCCTCTATTTATTTTAATTCTATCTTCTTTAACCACCAACTAAATTAATTATTAAAACTATCCCACTAATTTCATAATTGTAGTTCTGAATAGTCCAAAATACCCATTTAAAATCTCTCGAAAAGTATTTTATGAAATAAAAAGCTCTAGTACTCAAAAAAAAACAAAACATTTTTTCCCCATAAAGATGACTTAAATGTCTTTAAAACCATTTATAAAACTATAAAATTAAAACAAAATTACTTATACATGGAAAAGAACGAATCAAAAATGAAATAGAAAGGAATAAAGATTTTGTTTTGAGATGGTATTTGGTAGATTAAAAGCAAAATCAGAATATAATAGTACCAAAAGTTTGGTCAAATTGAATTAAAATTACATATAAGCTCAAAAATCATAGGTTCCCCAACGTATGACTGATCTTAGCGTATAACATACTTTTAATATTTCTTTTAACGTATAAATAATCAATAAGTTGGTTTTAAACCACTCAAAATATTACCTCCAACTCATCAAGGGTCGTGGTGAAATGAATATAATCCTCTACTGGAGAAGATAATTTCAGCCCAAATTTATAAAATCATCTTATTTTATTCATATATTAATGAGTTAAATTATTTATCTTTCAATTGGATCAAGGTCGAGTCTAGGTCCTAGGTTGGGTCGGGAGTTAGGTCTTGAGCAAAGAGTGTGATCGATTTTCAGGTCGAGGTCAAGGGTCTGGTCCCAAGTCAAGGTCGAGATCGGGTCTGGTCCCGAGTTGATGTTGGAGTCAGGATCAAATCTCGGGTCAAAAGTCTATCCCATGTCAAGATAAATGGGAGACAAGGTTTTAACTAAATACAACACAAACTACTATTCTATCTATCATATCACTCAAGTTGATCCAATTCATTCTTATCTATAGATAACATATGAGAAAACTTATGACCTCGCGAGTTGAGAGAGATTCAAACTCTTAATATTTCTATAAATACTTTAGCTATGGAAATCATGATCGATCACCATCCATAAAAAAAGGTATCTTTCAAATATATTTTGTGTCAATGGATCGTTCAAACATTCAAAATATGTCGAAATTGAAAATGACATAGCGTTCAACTCCTTATAACCGTTGTTTCTATCAATTATCATCTAATTAATGATAGGACGAAGGTCTTTGGTTTGATCCCTTTTATGCATTTGATCCTAATAAGGAGAGTCTCTCCCTTAAAATTTAGATTAGTTAGGGTCTCACTATAGATATTGAATACTGAGAA